TACTAACTCTTCTTATTATGTAGTTTTTTATTTGTTTAAAGGTAATTCTGATGGATTTGAGAAAAAGATCGTAGAAAGAAGTTGGATTTTTTAAGTAAACAACAGGTTAGCATGAGCTAATCAACAGGTTTTACTTTTTGTATTAGTGGTGTTGATCACATGTTTGCATACAAATTGATTTCTTTTGTGGGTATAAAAACAAACAAACAAACAAAAAGATTCTGTTATGTTTTCAAAGAGTCACTGCAGAGGGACCAAAGAGCCACATGTGGCCCCAGAGCCACAGGTTGCAGACCCCTGGTTTAGGTTAATTTTAGGGTTAGGATATAAATCTTCCAAAAAATGAATGGAAGTCAATGGAAGGTCCCCACAAGGATAGAGAGACATAGTATGTGTGTGTGTGTTTGAGGGGGACCAGGACAGGTCTGATGAAGACTGGACTCTCAGTGGTCTCTTGTCACCTGAAACGTGTTCAGTGTTGTGGTGATGTGGACCAGGACCCTGTTGATCCTCTGCAGGACTACGACTCGGCCTCGGCGGCGCTGGACGCCTACATCGCAGACTTTGAGAGGAGCTGTCAGAGCTGCGGGTCTTTGACCGGACCTYTGGTTCTGCCTCGTGACCCGCCCTCCACTCGCACCAAACCAAGGCCGGGCCGGCTCAGGAACCGGGACGGTACGACCCGTTCACGGTTACGTTAGCTGCCGGGCTGGGCTGCAGGAAGTAGCTTCTGATTGGTTCTGTCTGCAGTTCTGAGGGAGCGTCTGACGGACCGGGAGCTGGACTTCCTGAACCTCCCTGTGAGCTCCCTCCATCACCGTGGCAACCGGGACCGCCTCTCCATGACAACGGACGAGCTCCTGTCCATCCCGTGGGAYGGCTCCATGCCCGTCACTCACACGTCCGCCTTCATACGAGGTCCCTGAACGCACCRTTTTATTTTTCAACGTAAAGTTTCAATAAGAGTTGATTCATTGAGACCTTTCTGATCCTCAGGCCTCCGGTCCGGGTCTGAAGCCTCCACCAGGTCAGCCCACAGGACCAGAACTTGGCTCAGCAGCAGCCGGACCGCCCCCCTCCACCTGAACCAGGACTCTGGTCCCAGCAGGACTCCCAGCAGCTCCAGGTTCTTTAAGCATCTGATCAGAGTTTGAACCTGAACCTGATCAGGTTCCTCTGTTGTTGTTTATTGTTTACTGACTGTTGTTTATTGTTTACTGTCTGTTGTTTATTGTTTACTGTCTGTTGTTGTTTATTGTTTACTGTCTGTTGTTTATTGTTTACTGTCTGTTGTTGTTTAGGTGCAGAGGAAAAGACGTGGCTGAGGACTCTTCTGTAGGTTTTTATTTTTGACTCTTGTTGTCTGAATGTTTGTTTTGGACCCGGGTCTCTGTAGAACTGAACCCTCTTCCTGTCCCTCAGTCTGGACTCAGAGCAGCAGACCACCTCCCCCACTGGCTGACCTCCAACCGGTCTGTCCTGGACTGCTCTGAGACCAGCAGCCTGCCGGACCTGAAGTACCCGGCCTGGATCCAGCGCTGTGACGTCAGCGAGCCGGACCCCTGGGACGACTGGGGTACCACGCTCACTTCCTGTTGATGATGATGATGATGATGATGATGATGATGATGATGATGATGATGATGATGTTCGGGGCTCAGATAAAGTTTTTCACCTCTGTGTCTCTGTGGAGCACAGAGGTGGCAGTGTTATGATTTGGAGATGTTTTTCTGAAACTAATGATTTTAGAAAGTGGACCTGGATAAATTCTGGTACTGGTCAGATCCAGAAACAGTGACAGGAAGTGTTTCCTGTTTATGTTTTCAAAAGGATTCTCACTTCCTGTTTCAAAATAAAAGCAATTCTCTTCACTTGATMTTTTTATAGTTTTTATTTATTTTCCTGTCTTTGTTTCCTCCAGCTGGACCTCCCAGAACTGGAGCTCCATCCTGGGTATCGGACCTGGAGAAAGACCACGAACCTGAACAAACACCTGCWCAGGTGGGACAGGAAGTTACATCACAGAGCAGCAGCTAGTGTTTAAAACAAATCCTAATAAATATAAATATGGTGAAAAACAGCCGAAGTTTCTTGAACAATGAAGGAAAAGTTAAAAAAACTCAAATAAACCTTAGCTAAAAGCTAAATTTAAAGCCTAAAGCTGTAGCTAAAATAAGCAAAATCATGTCTGAAAGCTAAAACTAACAAAGCAGTAGCTAAGGCCCAAAATTAGCTAAACCAACCCAAACTTCACAAAATTGTTGCAAATGGCTAATATTAAAACTTTAGCTAAAAGCTAAAAGTAAAATTAGCAAAACAGCAGCTAATAGCTCAAAGTAGCAGTATGGTAGCTAAAAGCACAAATTACAAAAACCATAGCTTAAGAGCTAAAATAAAAAAAATAGTGGCTAAAAGCMAAAAATAAAACCTTTGAAAAGCTAAAAGTAGCACAACAATACTAAAAATGCTAACTAGCTAATAGCTAATATTAACCAATCTATAGCTAAAGACAAAAACAAAGTMAAAAATAAATAAATGTCCTGATGAGCCGAACATTTCATGTACAAACAGCTAAAAATAAAGTCAGCAGATGTGATAAAATAAGGTTAGGTGTGTAGAAATATTAAACAGGAAGTGGAAAGGCTGACTCCGGGTTTTCACAATAAGACAAATGTTCTGCTGGTTCTGGTTTCTGCAGAAGCTCTCAGCTGGTCCAACTGGTCCTGGTTCTCAGGAGGAGAGTCGATCGGCTCTCAGAGAYGTGAGGATCCAGTTGGCCCAACAGATTTCTCTGCTCGCTGCAGGACCACGAGGTTCTGGTGGACCGTCGGTTCTGATCAGAGGTGAGAACACCAGGTCAGGGTTCTGACGGGTCGCTGAATTCTGAACGTGTTTCTGCTAACTCCCGACAGACAACCGGATCGAGTCTCTGATCCAGAAGGCGGATCRGGTCCTGGACTCGCTGTCCCAGACTTCGGACAGAACCGAGGGTCCTGCAGGTCCAGGTGAGTCCTGGATCCTAATCGTCACCAGAGCAGACGGAGTCRGGTCAGACAGAAACGAAAAGATGAGAAACCTTGTTAGAAAATTGTGTCTATGATGTTTGGACTTTTATTCTGAAATAACAGGAAAGCTTTTATTGTGAAGGACCATCAGTGATTGTTTTTTCTTTGAGTCTCAGGTTTGTTATGAATAACTCAGTCTTAGTTCAGTGTTAGTCTCTGCAGCAGGTCAGACTGCAGCCTGTAACGGTTGTTGTTTGTTTGTTTGTTTGTTTGTTTGTTTGTTTACAGTGAGTCCTGTAAACACAGAGGACCTGCTGCTCTCCTCTCTGTAAGAATGGTTTCTCCTCATGTTTATTTGGTTCTGATGTTCCTCACTGACTCACGTGTCTGATGGTCCTGCAGAGTCTCAGCAGGAAGTCTGGCAGCAGCTCCGACAGGAAGTGATGCGGAGGTACAGCTGTGATGTTTGAGCTTTATTGTTGTAAGATCTTTACTTCCTGTTCTGTTGGAGGACCAATCACTGAGCAGAACTCTAAAACTTGTTCCTGATCCAGGTCCAGGGTTCTGGTTCTGGTGCTGACGCCTGGAAGCAGCCCGGGCCGGTGGAGGCGGTGAAGCAGATGCTGTTCAGACTTCAGGCGGTGGAGGCGGAGCTTGAGAGGAAGCACAAAGAACCAGAAGCTCCGCCTCCTTTCGCTCACGGACTGAAAACACCAGAGAAAGCGGTACGAGTCGTGGAGGCGGAGCTCTGAGGTCACGTCATCGTTCATCAAACACCTTCATGTCTGTGTTTCAGTTGACTGATGGGGAGGCGGAGCTACAGAACGCCACGCCGTCACCATCACTACAGAGGTAAAGCACTCTGAACAAGTCTGACCTGGACCGGATCAGGACCTTTACTAAACTCCGTCAGACCACAGCCTCGAAACAAGAACTGAAGACCTGATCCAAGACTGGATCCAAGACTGGATCCAAGACTGGATCCAACAAATCCTGTTTACTGATCAGTTTCATTCATGAAGGGAGACGTGCTCCTCAAACTGCACCGCCACCAAAACAGAGGCTTGTTTATCCATCCATCCATCATCCATCCATCCATCCATACATCCATCCATCCATCCATCCTCCATCCATCCATCCATCCACCCTTCCTTCCATCCATCCATCCTCCATCCATCCATCATCCATCCATCATCCATCCGTCATCCATCCATCCATCCTCCATCATCCATCCATCATCCATCCGTCATCCATCCATCCATCCTCCATCATCC